AAATAAAATAATATGTTCTAAAACCAGTTTTTCCCATACAATACAGAGTTATACTTAGAGTTCAATACGGAACAAAGACATTTTGAATACGTCACCTATATCAAGAACAGTCAGCAACGACCTTTAGCACTAAAGAACTGCACTGCATCGTATACTCAGGTGTCAACTCATTTTAGTCTAATTGAAATACTCAGAAAAGTACTTCCAAAGGTACAAAGGCTTTGAAAAACCTATATCTGTGGTAAACTACACAAAAAGCCAATAAGCATTTAGTTCTTGAATGTTTTGGAGATTGTTTATTTTTATACTCACATTTATTTCGATAAACATATACAGCCAGAAACTAACGATAAAAGTCCGACGTTTCGGCGATTTCTTGGTGCCATTGACAAGGAAGACTAAATTAAATATGCGATCTCAAGAGTAACTTAATTAATTTTCTCATTAACGAGACAATCAAACTTGTTATGGCATTTTTTCAACGCCTTAAAACAACTGTGAAAGTCATCCGAAATCCTGCCTGCGCGCCTATCGTCATAGTGTTTGCGAACTGACGAGGTCTTGGTTCTATGTCCATCAACGCGAACAAAGAGATGGCCACGCGGTGTATCCGACATAACCAGCATCGCACTGGTCACACATGAAGTTATACACAACGCATTGTTGATCAATGAGCTGAGGCTTTGGTTCGCTTGTCGGAAACTCCTGGGCGATCTTGCGCCTCTTAAACCAGTGTTTGATTGTCTCGTTAATGAGATGTTACTCCTTAAACAATTACGACCGTGTTTGAACGTACAATCAGATTCAATTCGCGCTAAAGTCTTTGGCTGACCTATGCAAAATAGTGACCCTGGACTCTTATGTTACTCTTGAGATCGCATATTTAATTTACTTTTCCTTGACAATGGCGCCAAGATGTCGCCGAAACGTCGGACTTTTATCGTTAGTGTTTGGCTGTATATAAACTCACATTGCACAGTAAGGGTCGCTGGAGATGAAGTGGAATTATGTAAACTATTGTTAGCGACACATCTGTATTGTCCTGTATCTGACTGTTGAACACCTATTATTGTCAAACTGTGATTCCCGTCCTTGGAAGAGATGGTCGATCTTGAATTTGCTGCTTCAGTGAATTCAACGTTATTTTTTGTCCAAGCAACATCAGGTCTAGGGTATCCTGCTACCAAGCAACTGAATACAACAGTTTGTCCTTCCACTCTAGTGGCATTCATTGGAGGTTTGGAGATTTCAGACCCAACTTATATATTAAAAAAGAAACAAAAGCAAAAAAAGATTTAAAAAATAATGGACAGAAGTGCTGCAAGTTATTGCAACTTCAGTCGTAATTCACAACATATTGCACCGCTTGTCACTTCCCTTTCCAGACCCATGCAGCTGTTATTTCAATAAAAAATGAGTGATCGGGTGAGAGTTTTATGCATTAGAGAAACGATAACGCCTCTAGCAAAAACACAGATAGTTGAAAATTTTGCCTATTAAGGATTGCGGTTCTAACCCCAGAGAATAATAGTGATTCGTTGCAATTTACCCCGCCTAAGACGATAGCTGCAAAAATGTTGACTGAGTCAAAATCGGTTGATTCACAATTCGGAGGCACAACTTGGAATGCCGGTTCAGCGCGATAATTGTTGAGAAATTGAGCAACATGCAAACTGGATTTCAAAATCCTCAAAACCATCAGCTTCTTGCTCGATCTGATAGAACTCTGTTGTGTCACAAGAGAGAAAAAAAAAAAGACTTTCCAGAAAAACTCAACCGCCCCACAAGGTTTTATATAAAAAGGAATCCGTTTTGTCACATCTTGGGTCAGACAGGTATTTTCAGTTCATTGACAATTCGCAACAACTTGTACATCAAAACTGTACTCACATTGAACAGTTACTAGGGTGGCATTAGAGGTAGCGTTTCCAACCTTGTTGCTCACCACACACTGGTATGGTCCGTTGTCTTCCCTGGTCACATTAGTTATTGTCAACTGCTTGTTGTCTGCTTGCAAACGGATCCTCGAATCCTCACTAGAATCTATACCAAATCCATTTTTTTCCCATGATATTGATAGAGAGCTTCCAGTAGCGTTGCAAAATAGGGTCAAGTTTCCCCCTTCGTTGACTGGACTAGTCTGTGGGTTCGTCTTGATCAAAGGCCTCACTGTATAAAAGCAAGGAGTTCTTTCATTAATGTGACGCCTTGTTATCGATCCTATGGCTGTTCAGCATGACAATTTTTCTCTCCTACTCTCGTACTAAAACCTGCTTACTGTAAAACTGCAACTTTTCAGG